TCAGTTGTTCCATACCCGTGGATTTCAAGTCGAATAATTGAATTAACGATTCAAAAAGTTTACTTTTTTCGGTTTTTCGCTTATATCAGTGAAACTATGAGTGAAATATATAACGATGTCACGTGTAAAATTAAAGCTGATAAAATTTTCAATAGAAACAGATATATTAGTTATTTCGCTGTATTACATAGTTTTCGTGATATCCGTCTTCGTAATTCACTAATTTCGAGGAACAAAAAAATTAATCGCATTTATATCAATATTTGACTTGCTAACTCTTTATCTTTTCATTTTACGAAAAATTCTAGATGAAGAAAGTTGTTTAATATTAAATTTTTCTTAAGAATAAATATTACTTTACTATCTTATCTTCTACCATTCAAAGCCTACAGCGTTTATAAATTATCGATTAAGCTTCGAAACTATACATAATAAATTAGTTTTCGCAATTTTCGTTATTACACTACTCCTAATCTGTATATAAGACAGTAATATACATAATATATATGTATCTTATGTAAGCCAGTGTATATAAGCATGTATGTTGTCTTATATACAGATTAAGAGCTATGTAATATCGAAAATTGCGAAAAGTAAGTTTTTCTGTATAGTTTCGGAGTTTAATCATATTAAGAGCTTTATATATCTATAAGCTCTCTTTAAATACTCTTACAACCCCATATTAGTTCCATCTATCTATATTCGCATGACCGCCAGTTTGTATTTGTATTTGTATTGTAAATGATGGCAGACGTGCATTTTTCTCATCAGGCCTGTGAATATGATCAATTTATAAGGACAAAGCTTAGTATGAAATATGATACCTTTTTGTCACGGATTCCGGGACTGCAAAAGGGTACCCGTTCTCCCCACATAGGCGCAGAATTCGTGTTTGAGGGAAGGGGGCCGAGAATATAGTTTCGTCTCCACCCCAATATTTCGAAGTACAAAAATAAAATAAAAATAACGATTAATCTGCATGAATGAATAATATATATAAACTAAAATCAATTGAGGAAAGAAGAAAAATCGACTAGATTGGGCTAAGCTAAGGCCTAGGGATATTATTTTACTACGACCAATTAATATTATTTTTATAGTTTTAGCATTCTCTTTCAAGAGGCAATAACCAAGTAACGTAAATTAAAAAAACTAGTTCAGAAAACCAAAAAAGGATAAGAACAAGTAAAGCAAGAAAAAAAAGGAATAATAAAGCAAAGTAAGATAAGTTCAGTTAAATCAAAAGATGGAATTATTCTACTATTGATCCTGAAACTATATATGCTATTAAGTTCTTTGTTGTTTGATATAACCTCACTCAATTATCTTCACAACCATAAAGGAAACCCATCAGTTTACTCATACGTTTGCACGTAAATCATTTCGAGATATAATTTTACAACGTAGTTCATCATAATGATAAATAATAGACTGTCTATTCTTATCATTATTACTTAATTATTCAATGCTCATAATAAATGCTAATTTTTTCTCTCAAATGCCAGTCTTCTAGGACAATTCTATCTTGACCGAATAAGGTTGGTAAGAAAATATTTTTAAATTAATTCACATTATTTTAGAATTTTGAAGTTTATCATAGGTATTAATTAATTAATTATTCACCAAGTAGCTGACATGTTTAAAGAAAGTTTTAAGCATGGGTGCCAATTGCCCCTAGACCGATGGTTCATGAATTTCCTCTCTCCCCCCTTCCCCTCTCCTTCCGAGATATTTTATTTCTCTACTCTTCTAGGGTAGGGCAACCTTGTTTTAGGTGTAACTCTAACATACGATAACGCCAACTTCTTTTCGTTTCCCGAATTAAATTTATCAGTAAATACAAGATATTTGTCTGGTTTTGAGAATAGGAAAACTTATTTTTGTTTTGTATTTAATCCACGTCAGTAGAAATTTTTTTCTTTAACGATAGGAGTAAATATTTCCGTTTTTAAGACCTGTTACATAAGGGTAAATGAACTAGCTGATATGCTTAAAGGAAATTTCTTTGAATTTTTAATTGTAACAAGTTATATATTTTAACTTTCCTTCGGATACTTTCCATCCCAATGTTTGTTATCGTTATTTTATATTTCCTTTAAGTTTATTCAACCTACTTTATTTTATATTAAGTTTATTCTACCTACTTTATTTTACACTAGCTGATGTACCCTGTCGTTGACGGGTGTTTAGTTAAAATTTTAGAATTTTTTTTTTTTAGATGAATTTTGTATTATGGGTAGAGGAGGGTCCAAGTTCAATTTCATAAAATTGGGTCGGGAGGGGAGGAGGAGGTTGTTTTGAAATCTTTTATGGCGGGGCTTATGGAAGTCAAGTTTTCGCAATAGTCATAACAAAAACTTTGTTATTCAGCTATTTGTTTAGGTACCACACAACTAAACCGACCACCACCGATCAATTAAAATTTGTTAACTGTTTAATTTTCATTTATGAAGCTAGGAGATTGTAGATCTCTCCACTCTCTTGAGTTTATCGCTGGCAAAATAACAAAAATGACATTGGACATTGAGTCACCTACATCCGTGTAAAATTAGAACTTGATCTGAATATTGTGGCGTTGAGGTGAATTTCTTCCCATGTTTTCCGGCTTATTTGGGTAATCCAAAAAATGTATACGATATTTGTCGGACTCGAAAAGTTGAATTGAATGATCCCTTGAACGGGAAGATCGGACGAAGTTGAAAAATGACTGTTTTATGCGACAACGCGTTAAAGATGTTATACTCAATGTTTTGTTTTCATTTAAAGCCTACGTTTTAAGTAAAGCAAACCTTAGTATAATGTAAACATTTCAAAAGTCTACAATAAGCCATTCCTGAGCTTACCTCTGACAAAATTTCGTTGCAATGCGGACATACAGACAGACAAAAATTTTTTTAAAAGTGAATTTGGTATCTGCAATGTATGAAACGGAAAGATATCATAAAACGGTTTGATTCTATTCTTCTCTTCTTCTTCTCTCACCATCTCCTGTGTGCTGCTAAGCGTGGAGTAGCTTCCTCTGACCATTGATTGATTCTATTCAATGTACAAAATCTTTATTTTATTTATATAGATTAAGTTTATTCTACCTACTTTATTTTACATTAAGTTTATTCTACCTACTTTATTTTACTTAAAAAATTGTATACCTACTTTATTTTACATTAAGTTTATTCTACCTACATTATTTTACTTAAAATTTTTTCTACCTAATTTTTTTAGACTAAACCATTCACCTACATATTATTACTTTTCTTTTAATAGTTTCTCATACCCATTTTTATCTGTGTGGTTTTTTGTCCCCGTATCTGTTCGGCCCCCTGATGAAGGGCCGAAGGGAACATTAGGTCGAAACGTCGGCAAAAATAGACTGAACATCCCAACCAATCTTCTCTTCAATTATTACAAATATGTATTTATTATCAGTTCCTGGCATCCGTTTAATGCGACAGAAAGTATTTGTGTTTTAATACTGTTTATCGAAACACTTATCCGTTAATCATTTCTTATAATTTCTCGTAATGTTTCCGAGAAGTATGAGGTTTGTTCGGATTTGAAACCAGGTGATTGCCTTTCACTAGTCGTATGTAATTTAGCACTAGTTGATGTCATCATCACCCAGATCTATAAATACTTTGTAAAGCTGTAGTAAAAGTCATAAAACATTGAGAGGTTTCAAAAGGTCCACGGACCGATACGAGCTAAATTATATTTTTTAAAAATTTCAAAAAAAAGGACAAAACATATATTTCGGGGCCCTGCGTTTTAACGCCCAAAAATGTACTGTTTTTCAGTTCTAAGGGAAACTTCTAGCTGAACACACCTCCCTGAAGAAGACACAGCTCCTTTTCGTAGATTGATGGCATTGTATCCATAAATAAAGTTTACTAAAGTATATTGAAGTAAAGATTTGTTAACTACAGGAATATCGTATCGCCAAGACATGTTGTACTCTGCATCCCTTAAGGTATGACCAACATCTTAGGGTTTTTGAAAATAACCCTTGTACTCCGTAAAATAACAGAGATAATAGCTTTAGCGGTTATTCAATCTACCAATTCCTAAAAGATTAATGTATGGTGGGCCAAAAAAAAAAAAATTTAACCCGTCATTCATCAAGCGTCACATCTGTCTTTAGAGGTTTTTGATCCCATTCTCTCGAATTTCATGAAAAAGACATCCAAATCATTAACGTGCTGTAATATACTACAGTGCTGCCAGTGGCTAGTTTCTCGACTTGTGTTTTCATTTTCTTATATTTCGGATGTATTGTTATTTTATTAAAGTTATAAATATCATGAATAAAATATATATATTTTTATTATACTTGGCCAGGCTAGCTCTAGGTTCACTCGAACACAGGATCACCTGATTATTATCAACCTTCAGTTTTAACATTGTCCAGTTCACGTTTTTTAAATTATATACTTCAACCACTAAATCACTTTATTTAACGTAAATGAATATTTATTAACCTTTGTCTCCATTTTCGGAGTTATAAAGATTATTTAAGACACCTAATGTTCAAGCTATCATAGCAGGCTAGGCAAAGTAACAAAGATACAACAAATTATTTTCAGAAATATTCAAGGCTGAACTACTTTTATCATATTATTATATATATTGAAATAGAGGTAATTCAATTAATAATATAAAATACAAAATGTAACTATGATTGTTTAACAATGATGATTCAATAATTTAATTTAATTTCTATTATGAAGGGAGTGCTACCACTGGGTAGTATCTCTTCAAGTCGGTTCATGTCACTATTTCTAATGTGTGCATTTTTACTAGTTGTATTGTTTATACAGTTGTAAATTTCATTAAATAAATACAAATAAAAAAGAAATTCTAATATGGAAGGTGGATAGCGTTTTCGTGACGAAAGGAAAGTGGAAAAACGGTTGAAACGTAAAAAATACTAACGGACCTATATCGTAGTTATTTAACTTTTTATCTCTACTGCCTATTAGTCCAAACTTGTGCGTTTGTTGCAGATGGCGTATATAACATCTATATTTATCTACCTAGCATTGGCACCTGCAATATTTGCCTGCATGCAGTGTCCAGAAATTAAAAGGACTAAAAGCATCAATTTTGCTGAGGTAAATTAGTGCTTGATAGGTTTCCGGCCTGATCCTAAAGATTGTTATTTATCGCCTTCTCCGGTTGATATACCATTTCACCTTATAACCTCTAGAATCTAAACTGAGTGCGCATTTAGATTCTAACTCCATTATATTATCTTATTATTCATGAGAGAAACTAAAATCTATTTAACTAAAAACTATTATCTATACTGTGATATATATTTTTATAATATACTTTAATATATACTGCTCGAAAGTGAATAGGAATATTTATATCAGATGCTTATTTTATTCGTTTTAATTAAAATACTCTATTTAATTTTGTTCGTTAGGGATTCTCTTATTCGTTAGTAAAAAAGTATTGTTTATTTTTAATAAATTACGAACTGAAAGAAGTAGTCAACATGAAGAATGTTTATTTTGTAAACCAACACCTGTTTTCGACTTTTCTCAATTTAAATTCAGTAGTATTCTGTATAACGATTAAAAGACAGATACTGGAATTACCAACAGGAGACTTGTTAGTGGATCTCAGTACACAACGACGCCAATGGATGACAGAAATATTGTTATTACTTCAAGAAGCAAACCTTCTCATAATGCCCGACTGAGCCTAAATGAATTGTTGAATGTTCTACCAAGGCCTATACCAACACAAACAATTCGCAATCGTTCGTGAGTAGGTCTAACATCATACTCCCTTTCACGGGCGGATCTACGGGGAGGGCTTTCGGGCTGAAGCCCCCCCCCAAAATGGAAAAATATAACCATGTTTTATGGAAAAAAATATTAAAAAATACCTCTTAAAGTATTACTGTTCGTGTAATTACATTTAAAAGTACTTAAGGAATAACTTAAACACCATTTCATATAGGTAGTTAGTTTCTTTCTGTTTTTCCAAAGTAATTATCGTTATTTTTATGAAAAAAAAAAGGTTTCGGGCTGAAGCACCCCCCCCCCAAAATTAAATCCTGGATCCGCTAGTGCTTCACAAATAATATTACATAAATTAAAAAAAATATTTATAATGAAATTAAGATTTATAATGCAGCCTTACTTAATTACAATCAAACGAAATAAGTTATTCTACAAGTGTGAAAGCTCACTCCTCCAACCATGTAATTGGTCATTACCACAGGCGAATTTACGGGGGGGGCTTTCGGGCTGAAGCCCCCCCCAAAATGGTAAAATGTAATAATTTTTTATGGTAAAAATGTTAAAAAATTATGTCTTAAAGTATTATTGCTCGTTTAATTACATTTAATAGGACTTAAAGAATCACTTAAACACCATTTCATATTAGTAGATAGTATCTTTCTGTTTTTCTAAAGTAATTATCGTTATATGTATGAAAAAAAAGCTTCCAGGCTGAAGCCCCCCCCCAAAATTAAATCCTGGATCCGCTAGTGCTCCCTTTTAAGATGGCTAGCAACAACAGTGCGTCGCCAGCAACTCCGCACATCATGATGCAGCGTCTAACGAGAACATGGGATGGGCACACTGTCACTGTTTTTTTCTCCTTCGATTCATTCTACTCAGGATGACGGACTCTACTCCATATTGTGAAAGATAATCTCATTGCAGTTCTTCATGATCAAGAAATTATAGAGGAGTACATTCCTCAAACCAAAGCCATAATTGGCTCAGATTTTTATTTTCTTGACAATACCCTCATGGGGTAAAGGTTGTCCATCAATGTCTTGTACATTTGGACATTTCACATCTGCACCTTCCCGTATCGTCTCCACATCTCAATCCCACGGAGCACATATGGGATGCACTGCAAAGAAACCCTTTTGACCACCAGGTGCAGTTTCTTAACCTTCAGCGACTGAGAGCAGTATTAGCATGTTCAATGTATTCATTTTTATGTGAAATCAGTGACAACATTATTGTGCTTAACATAAGATATTCCACGAATTATTAAATTTTACAAAATGCTTACAATTCGCAATCATAAAATAACATCACATAAACCTTTAATTTTATATAGTTTTTAAAATACCTTTTATGTATTTTCCCGAGGTCAAATATAATCTTAATTATATTTATTTTCAATGTATTTCATGATAAAATTAAATAAAAATTCTAGGGAAAATAAATCATGCATAACTAACAATATCCCTATTCATTTTTTGAGCAATATACATTCTTACATAAAAATATTCTGCGCATGCAGTTGACAATTTGAATAAAAATCGAGTTGGTATTAAAGAAATGCCTTTTGGGATCCTGAACTTTTTCCTACCTCGATCAAATTACAAAATTTCCTAAAACCAAACATAAGAATGAAATTCGGTAATTCAATCTAAAACAATAAAATGAGTGATTTATTGTATCGATGAAGATAAAAATACATTTTGTATTTCTTTTACTATCTCTAGCACGCGATTGAAAAGAATGTAAAAAAAAAAAAAAAAGGTACCCTATTAATGATTTTTAAAAATCTCTAATGTAAAAGTTGGTCTTATAACTTCCGATGGAATAAAGACAAAATAAATATTATTTTAATGCGTTGTATTATTTTCTGTTTTTTATTCTCGCATTGCGGGTTGAGTTTCTTAGGTGGGAGACCTGAAGTTCAAGGGCAACTTCATATTATTATTTTATTATTTATTTTTATTATTGAAACATTATTATAAACAAGAGTCTGCATACTTGTATTCGGTTTGTAGATAGCAGGTGATTGGTTCATGGTGGCATCAACACCTGATTTGAACGTGAAATGTCGAAACATCGTAATATCTAAGGCAATTAAAAATACGTATAAGATGAAGCTTCAACATTATGAAAATTTTTTTTTTACATTGTGGCATAATGTACAAACCATTACTGTGGAAGACAATCAAAACTATTCGAAATTTGAAGTACCAAATCCATTCTGTAAGTATGTATTCAGGTGATTTAAGTATCCGTAATTGATTCAAAGTACATTTTAATACTGTGTTTTAATGTATTTCAATGATTAAATATTATTTCATTTAAAATTTAATAATTATAAGAATTTATAAAAAAATCATTTAACTTCATGTTTTTGCAAATAAAAAATAGCTATGATTTTCAAAAGTACATCTGACACATGTGGTTAGTCAGCACAGGGTTTCCAGATTGTCCTCCCCCCTCCTAGTTGTAGGTCTTTTTTTAACACCCTATTATACTTCTTTAAACATTGAACGTTTTTCTCACGTTTATCCTTTTAGATTCTATACTGCTATGTACCTGGAGTAGAGGGTTCCAGGAACCGCATTTATTTCTATTTAATATATTTAATATTTATATTTGTATTTATATCGGTTCCAGAAGTGAACCAATCAACTGAAAAATATATGAATAGTATATTTAAAGGTTAGATACCACAGACCTTCTACTGTAGTACCCTAGATTGATTAATACCATTTTTATTGAATTTCTTTTAGAAAGGTATCGTGTTTATAAATTGACTATTTGTTTCTATAACTAATTGGTGGCATGCAAGGTAGATTGTAAAATTAACCAGATGGTTTAATAACTAATATATTTACAAGCTATATATGTACAAAATACAAATACAAAATATATATGTACAATAATTATTAGAGGATCATGTTAGAGGAGACTGCTATTTTGGATATGCCTGATTGAGGTTACTAATGATCTATTGATTCTATTACTGATTGCCAACACTAGTTTACATATGTAAAACTAAATGAATGTTTCTACTTAGCTGCTTCTTCATGGTGAGGGTTGTTGTCGGTATCTCTAGCTGTCTCTCTTCTCCTGGCTGCCTCCCTGGACTCTCCTAGATTGACCCCCAGCTGCCTCTGTGGACTCTCCAGTCCATGTTGCTCTCTCTGCCTGTCTTCCTCAAGTGTTAGTCCATGTTGCTCCCTCTGCCTGTTTTCCTCAAGTGTTAGTCCATGTTGTTCCCTCTGCCTGTCTTCCTCAAGTGTTAGTCCATGTTGCTCCCTCTGCCTGTCTTCCTCAAGTGTTAGTCCATGTTGCTCCCTCTCCCTGTCTTCCTCAAGTGTTAGTCCATGTTGCTCCCTCTGCCTGTCTTCCTCAAGTGTTAGTCCATGTTGCTCTCTCTACCTGTCTTCCTCAAGTGTTAGTCCATGTTGCTCCCTCTGCCTGTTTTCCTCAAGTGCCCTAGGTTGACTCCCAGCTGCTTCGGTGTGGAGTTCCCGCCGATGTTGCCGTCTCCGCCTGTCTTCCTCCAGTGTCCTCTTACCAACCTTTCTTTTTTTTTTTTTTTTTTTCTTACCCTCCATAAGTCAACTATACAATTTACTATATATATATATATATATATATATATATATATATATATATATATATATATATATATATATATATATATATATATATATATATACTCAGGAATATGCTTACCTTCTTAAATACCTGAAGGTATTTTAAGGTCCAACCTTTCTCTCACCCCTCTCTCTTTTTGTACTGTTCTCTGATTGGCTTAATTTTCCTAGCATAAGGCATGAGCACGCCCCCTGGCCGTACTCTGGTAGGTATATCTTCCTCCGTTTCCTCTTTCTCGAAGGTGTTAATGTTCCCTTCAATCCTCTTTAAACATTCCCACGTTAAGACCGTTGATGCTCCTTTGGTGTTCTTACCGATCTCTCTATCCTTAAGTGTTTTATTGCCACTTACAAAAGGTTGCACTCAATAGTGGGTCGTTACTCTCCCTCAGGTAACTAACCGCCCAGGTGTTAGCACTGATGATTTAGACTTATTTATTCCTTTGAAATAATTAAATATATCCCACATTAGAATACATAGCAATACACCACTCAAATAAAGTGATTCTCTCTCTCTTCCTTCGATTTTTTTTTTTATAACCTAATAAAAATATTTCTCCACGATCAAGTATCCTTTGTTGAAACGGCAAATTCCTATTTTCTAGAGTCGGTATTGAATACAAATATTCAACAAATAATGTGATAATGTGAACTTAATTAAACCTTAGTAATGTGAACCGTCTTTTTTTTTTTTTTTTTAGCTTTATTTAAAACTGAGTATACCTTCCTTGATGGTGACTTGAGTGACTACATGTTACTTCACACTTGCTACCGCCATATCATCTTCGTCAATGGTACAAGTCCAACTATCACTAATATTATACCATAATAATTATCAATTGGTAAATTTTTACATGTTCTAATCTCAAATTCGATTTCCAGTTTTTTGTTTAGCTTATTATATAAAATTTTAAATATCTTCAAAACTAAGTAGTTGTTCGAAGTTTTGTAATAACTTTGATTCAACAAGAAAATGGTTTTATTGTTCCTTCCTAAGAAAGCAAAGTAGAACTATGGAACCTGCACCAATATTTATCACATTTAGCTAATTTAAAAACTCAATATTTCGCCAGGCCAACGTATTATTTTCAATTGATATATTAGTATGTATATAATAATCATAATTATGATAAAATTGAAAGGAAGTGAAATAAAGAAAATAAATTTGAGAATTTTAATAATTTAGTTTATAATATAAATAGAGAAAAATTTAAGATATAAAAGTAGTCAAATAGTTATATACATATATAGGGTGTCCCGTAAGTAGAGGGAAGTTTTATAGGAGTGATAGCAAACCTGGGCCAATGGGCCACTTTTCAACAGAAAAGTAGCAAATCCAAGCTTTCTGTTTTTTTAAGTGACTCATGTTTTTTTATTGAATGGATAGCAATAACTTAAGAAATATTTAATTTAAGTAATTATTAGTTACTTCATTGTAAACAAGATGAAATTTACTTTAAATGAACATAGAGTTTATCATTGTTAAAACCATTTACAGGGGAGTTTTGAGCAACTAAGCTAAGTTCTGTTTTTAGAAAAATCATAAATTATTCGCCATTATTTTTTTTATCATCATCCAACTATACTGCGGTTTCCACACTCTTACAAAAACTTCTTTGATTGACATTTAAGTTTAAGTTTATGAGGGAAAATGTTGAGATTCAGCTAAGTTTAGTAAAAAAATGATGATATTTGTTATCTTGTAAAGTCAAAGTACTCCTGTTTTAAAAAAAAAATGTCTACAGTTAATTGTTGCAAAGCTTTTATTTCTTGTTTTTTCATGCTCTGCAATGTATTTTAATAAATCCAATTATATAAACACACGTATTATTTATAAATAATACTGATTTTTCAAATATTAGCAACAGTAGCTCCTGAGGTCTCCTATCACTTCTATAAAAGTTTCCCTCTACTTACGTGACACATATTTAGATATATATATATATATATATATATATATATATATATTTATATACGTTATATATAAGTAGCGTATTATTATAGTAGTTTATTATATATAAGTAGCAGTAATGGATATGAGGAGAAAAATAATGGAATTGAGAGATTGTTTATATAAATTCAGTAATTGATAAACAAGAGATAAGTTTTGTTTGTTAGGCTGTTGATTATAGATCGACTTACGAGTTGGATATAATTGCTTTTCGGAATAATTGGTTGGAATCCGTGGCTAAATTGGAAGTTTCGTCGAAATTGAGAGTATGGTTTAGAGATAAGGAGTGTTCAAAGAGTTCTCAGGCTGTAGCGTAACGGGAGGAGATACAATATTTATGCTGGATAATGGGGTCTTTGAAGAGATTTTTGGTTTCACCAATATAAGAAAAAATATTGGAGTGGAACAAGGGATGCGGTATAAGAACATGGTGTTAGAACATGGGAATGGTATAAGAGAGGGAGGAGATTTTTTAGAGAATATTGAAGGTTAGTTGGAATATGGTGAGATTTGTAGCAGTTTATATAGATTTATTTTGTCAGAGTAGAAAAGTATATAAGTTTTTAATCTAGACACAATTCCCTTATATTCTATTCTAATATTCTAACAACCTTTAATTTCTACCATCCTCGTCGCCACTTTACTGTGAAAAAAAAACTTCTCTCCCATTTTTCAACCTCCATGTCTTTAGAAACCTTGATTAAATTATATCAACAGACTGGTACACTAGATCACGTATTTACGAGTGAAAACATACCTAATAAGTACATATCACTAATGTTAGTCCAAAAACTCATATATTAAAATTTTTAACTTTTATTCTATTTGTGCAAAAGGTGACATTATGTAGTCTGCAATTAATATAAGTGGTCTACTACTATGAAAAATAGCAGAGGGCAATAAATATGAAATTATACAAATAAATCATAAAGAAACAATTAGTTTTTCATGTAAAACACTCATTAGTTTTACATACGACTTTTGGCACTAACAGTAGTGATATGCATGTTCAGTATGCACTTGAATTTTTTTTTAATCATGGTTCACCAAAAGTTCAATCTGCAAATGCGGAATTTTTCATTTTTTAGAGTACGCTGATAAACAAAATTAGTGGATATCAAACCAGTATATGTTGAGGGATTACTGAATTTCCAGTAACGGCTTCTCCCAGAGATTTTATTCTCATACGAAAAAATTTAGATCTTGTAATATTTTTTAGGCAATGAAAACGGTGAGGAAGCTGTACTGACCTTACTTGGCACATTTTTTTTTTTCCCGTTCGCTATCATTTGTTTTGTTTGATTCATATCTGACAACTACTTATATAAATCAATTTATGACAATTCTCAAATTTATTTTCTTTATTTGGCTTCCTTTCAATGCATCCTATTTTAGGACCATTTAGTTAATTTATGTATCACCATCTTCCAATATCGATGAATAAATTTATTAATTGAAACCCGCTCTGTAGTAATTGAGATTTCTTCCTACCGGTATAGGCATTATAATTCATCTTCAAACATTCACAGGTGTGAAATGTTTTCACCAATTTGCAGTTTACTACAACAACGTTAGATCATGTTAAAGGAAGTATAAAAAATATATTTTAAATTTTTCAATTTTTTCTTTTCTTTTTTCATCTTTTTCAGAATATTATGAGTTATGGACTCGGAACTTGACTGGCAATTGTCAAAATGTTATTGATTCTGTAACGGAAACTTTGGATCTATATAAAATAAAGCCTGAGGATATGACTTGCAGTGTTCCAGACGGTTGTTATTTTGGATCGTAATCTGTTTGTTTTCAAAGCAATAAAATAGTATTGGAACTGATCAAAAGAGGTATGGTCATTTAAAAGTTAATTAAGGTTCTTAATCCAGAAACGATTCCCTATATTCTATCAACCTTTATTTCCTACTATCCTCGCCTCAAATTGTAGAGGGTAAAACAGACGATTCAGTCCCTTTTTTTCAACCTCCTTATTGTTAGAAACGTTTCATCCAGTGCAGTAATAGTAATTGATGTCACAAAGTTTATCATGAAGACATGATTATTCGCACTCATCGACCTACCCCAAACATATGTCGATGGCCAATCGATTTCCCTCACCTGCGACAAGCCAGAACTCTGTTTTTAAGAGATCTTTGATCTTGGGAAATGGTTTACTTGGATGAAGGTTCCTCCTAAGTATACTTTGGTCGACTTCACTGAGCCTATCCTCAATAGAGTTTACTTCGCTTCAGATGTACTTAAAGTAATCTACTTGCAGGAAGGCTACCTAAACTAATGTTTTCTTTTTAAGGTATGTATCAGCTAACCATTCGCATGCTTTGTTTTGTTCTGGTTAAGTTTTAATCCTATATTTTCCATGACTGCGATGAATGAAGGAGCTAGCACCTGGATATCGTCTGTATTACTTCCCAGGACCTTTACAGCATACGCGTATGCGAGGTATTTATACATCAACCTATCGCGTGCTTCAGTCGCAATCTGCTGATTCACTCGAAAGACAATCCTCTTGGCGAGAACGGCTGACTTCACATCGAAGGCTTCATTAATATCCCTCTTTCCATCATGCTAGATTTGGAACAATTTATCCTTTTTGACCTTATCAATCACAATAACTACGCATGGAATCTCAATTATCATAATTTTTTTTTAAACAGTCTATCGGCAAAGTCGTACGCTGCTTTGTCATCAATGAAATGGGGCGTGTACAGTTTATTCCAGTTCCCATCTCAAGTTTCTGTTTTAGAATAAATATCTGTTTGTTTGTTGTCTGTGTTGAGGCAATTAATTTTTCAACTACCTCTTTTACTGCTCTTTCCATTTCTTTCGAGTCTTATCTGTGGAAAATCTCACAAGACAAAGGAATTTAAATCTGTTTTTTAACTCAAGCTTAAAACTTGATTACATCTCGGAATCTTTTAATTTGTTGACTTCGTGCCTTATCCTTTTCAATTCTATTTCAGTTTTTCAGCAGAAGATCTTTGTTGTTTTGAAGTCTTTGTTTAAATTTTATTTGGATCATTAGTTACAATTTTGTCAGTAGAAGGTAGGGAGCAAGGGAAAGATGCTGCTTTATCCCTTCCAACACAGAAACATTAAAAATAAAATAGTAACAAATTTCTGAGAACTGATCGAAAGAGATAAGTTGGTTGGTAGTATTCCAATATTTTGAAAGGCACTATTTTCGAATAAAGGACAACTTAAACATAAAAGAATTTAAATTAAAAAAATCACTCTTCCTACTTTTAGGATAACTTATTACCACTATTATTTTCCTTTTTACTAGCATTGGCGTAATCAGAAATTAGAATGTAAGTGAATTATAAAAGTTGAATATACAAACTGGATTAATCCCATCCCCATAAACTATAACTTCAGAGAATTTATATGCAAAAGGCGAGCTTGTGGTTGATAGAAATGAAATCATAGAACTTTGGAGGAATTATAACCGTGAGGTGTTTTCATTGCGAGATTACAGAACGGACCACATGAAAAATCGAAGGCATAGGTCAAGAAGAGGAACTGAACATACAGAGGGCGTGGATCACACAATAGAGGAGGAATTGGTTGTTATTGAAAGAGAAATAGAACTGATATAGGTTAGGCTCCAGGCTTATATAATATCGCAGGGATCCTTTTATTCCGAAGAGTAAACCCAATAACCAGTCAAGACAGTGAACCAAACTTCCCTAGAATACTATCCTAAGCATTCTGAATGACCACTCTAAGTGGAAAAATAATAGGATGTATTAAAAAAAATGACCGTTTTATCAAATTCAAGATTTCAAAGGACCGTTAATATTTTAATCCTATTGATTACTTACCAATATTTAATAATCCCTTTAGAGCATTCTCTAAACTTGTTAAATCCCATTCGACTTCTTCAAAAAAGCCTCAATTTAGTTATTTGTTTTAAAGAAGAAACATGACAGTGTCCTACGAAATTCTCGCAATTTTAAGGCATACTGAAAAAAAAAAATCACAGCCGCTGAAGCAACTCGTGATATTATTAAATATGAAGGGGGATTTGTCCTTGACCAGCGCACTGCACGGCGTTGGTTTGAATAATGTAGCAGTGGAGATCCGATTTTGGAAAGGAAAAAGGGCTCCGGGCGACCATTAATGGATATTGATGAGGTTCTGTAGGAAGCTGTTGAGTCAAATTCGTCCACGAGTACTCGCGAACTTGGCAGGGAGTGTGATGAGTCGGTACTGTTATTCGCCATCTACTCTCCACGGAAAAGGTGAAAAAGAACAGTAGACTGTTTATTGAAAACCCCTTCTGATATGAGACTTTATCAGAATATTGTCACCTGTGATGAAAAGTGGGTTTACTGGCGAAATACGATTACCCGTGAGCGATGGCTAGATCGCGGTCAAACTGCTTTTCCAGTTGCAAAAATGGGAAAATTTGAAGAAAAAAAATCCATGCTTTGCGTTTTTTTTTTAATATTGAAGGTGTTATTCATCACAAATTTTTCCTTGATGGATGCTCTATGAATTCTGAACTCTACTGCGAGCAACTGGAAAGATTGTACGCGAAGTTTTCAGAGCGTTATCCTGCTTTGACCAACCGAAAAGGAATTGTATTCCAACAAGATAATGCTCGTTCTCACACTTCTTGTCGAACCAAATAAAAGTTTAAAGAACTTCATGGGTTCGAACTTCTGCCTCATCCACCATATAGTCCATTCCTCGCACCATCAGATTACTACTTTTATATATCCATGGCCCATATTCTTCAAGGAAAAAAAATTGATAATTTTGCGAAAGTTGAAATTGCGGTCCAAGAGTTCTTTGACAGCCATCCCTAAGAATGGTATCAGCGTGGGATCGAGCAAATGGCTAGCAGATGGCTAATGACGGTAGATAATAATGGACTATACTTTGTGTATTAATTGTATTTTATATCAATGAAATAATAATACAAATATTTGGTTGAAAATTGGTCTTTTTATATATATATATATATATATACCCTATTATTATACCAAAGTCCGTCCACCTTGCCTGAATGCATCCTGTTCCTCTTCCAGATATTTTTTTACCTTTGCTTTTATCCTAAGATTCTTGTACATAAGTTAAAAATGGCGAAGGGTAAACAAATAAATCTGTGTTAAAATCGTATTTCTTCCATTTCAAAGTCAGGCATTATATAATAATTATCTTATTATCCCATTCTTTTGGAATGTTTTTAGTGTCTCAAAATGTTTTTAATACTTCATCTTAAACGTTGAACGCTTAATCCAAACTAAATCCTAAACGCTATGTTATGTAATCATAGCCTCAGGAACAATGGATATACGAAAATACTTGAAACAGCCAGAAGAAGGAGCATAGAAAAAGAGATCAGAGAGAATGAAAAAAAACGAAACATGTAAAATATTTGCACAAATGCTGTGGTAATTACAAATAAATTGTTTTCAAAACACTTTTTTTCATGATTATACCACACTCTACTCATAGCTTAATAAACTCATCAATTCACGATATTAAAAAAAACAATAGAGCTAAAAAAAAAACTTTTGTATTTAGAATTTATATACAACGCTGTTATAAATTTAATTAAAGATAGAATCATTAACAACTGTCATAAAATCAATAATGAAATAGAGTTTCCAAATTAAATGGTCAAATTTACTCTTATTAGCAACTTAACGAATTGTTTACATTCAAAATGTGGAGAAATTTCTCTAAGAGACAAGTAAGTACCTTACAAACAAGGGGGCTTTTGGTTTTTGATATTTATAATACATTATAACTGATTTAATACTATAGTCCATATTTGTTTCATATTCTGCACACAAAATAGAACCGATTCACACAGTGTAACCCAAAAATTCGAAAAATTAAAGATAAAAATAAATAACACAAAATTTAGGCTACTTGAAACGAACACGCCTGGATGTAGTATCACCGAAAAAAAATTGATTGAAATAGGTGACCCACAACTATAGTCTCTCTTGTAAATTAGACCACAGTAATTTTAAAATACACATATATGGATGTATCCATGATGAAATTAAATTCAAATCTCTCTTGGAAATATTTCTTCGTCGTTGACTATTACAATCATCTTTTAGCATCGAACAATAGAAAATAAAGGTTAAAAAAATAAGGTATCCGCTTTAGACCATACGAAAGAAGTAAAACCATCGACCAAGCGAGATTAATAATATGAAATATAAATTATAAATAATAGCTTACAGTATGCATGTCCGATTTTTAGTTTCTGAGATATTTTAATCCATATCTTCAATAAAACCCGTTATTATTTGGTTTTCTATACTATTTTATCGCCACACGGCATTTCGTTAAGAAACAATTTTGAATAATAGATTTTACCGGAATATTGTCACCTCTGATGAAAAGTGGGTTTACTCGCGAAATACGAATGCCCGTGAGCGATGGCTAGATCGCGGTTAAACTGCTTTTCCAATTGCAGAAAGAATAAAATTTGAAGAAAAAAACAAAACAATGTTTTGCGTTTTTTTGGAATTTTGAAGGTGTTATTCATTACTAAATTTTCCCTGATGGATGCTTTATGAATTTTGAACTCTACTGCGGACAACTGGAAAGATTGCACGGGAAGTTGTCAGAGCTTTATCCTGCTTTGATCAACCGAAAAGAAAATTTATATTATGCAGGACCGAATTATAGTTTCTGAGATATTTTAATCCACATGCAAAAACACTTCAATAAGTCGACTCCAGCCGACTTTACCCGAGCGATACAAATTGGAAATCTGACGGTTCAATCCAATTCAGTCCCCATAAAAAAGTACAAAACGCGCCTAAAGAAGTTTTCACTTAAAAA